TTTTAATTTAATTTTAAATGAAGTTTCTTAAACATTTTAAAAAAACCTTATTTACTTTACATACAACAATAGCATAGTTATATATTATAGACTTAGAGAAAGAGACCTTCTAAAAATGTTAAAATGTATTACTGGCACGCGAAACCTTAAATTAGCGTGAATAAATGAAGACTCGGCACACCACTTCTGAAAGGTTGCCAACCCCTGGTGTATTTCATTGGGATCATCCACTGAGCCCACTTTGCTCCCAAACTCCCTCCCAGAGCCTGCGCCCCGCACCCCCTCCTGCACCCCAGCCCTGAGCCCTCTCCCACACCCAAACTCCCTTCCTCTTAGTAAATCAGAATTTTTTACCTCCATTCCCCAAACATCCCAGATAACAAAGCTTTTACTGTCATTTGAAATGGGTCTCCTTACTGTGCCAATGATTTTGAAGCAGAACTTTTCATTGACATGATTAGTGCAAATTAGGTAAATTAAATAACTTATTTAAAGTCCCGAGGTGAGCATCTCCCAGATCCAGCATCCCACACCCTCTCCCACACCCCAACCCACTGACCCGAGCCCCTTCCCATACCCAAACTCTCTCCCAGAGCCCATGCCCCGCACCCACTCCCGCACTCTGAAACCCTGGTGTCCGCTCCTCTGCCCACGAGCAGCAGGGACATGTTGCCTCTTCCAGGGAGCCACACAGAGCCAGGTAGGGAGCCTGCCAGCCCCATGCCAACCAGACTATAAACCAGATTTTCAATGAAGATCAGTGTGACGTTATCTGATTAAAATATGGCCATGTAGATCATTGCTGCAACCACTGTTGCATAACTGCAACAAATCTTATACAACGTGTGTCCCGTAAGGTGTCTATGGAAAGGTTATGATTTGCTGAATATGATTATGCTATTTGTATGCATGTAACATTTTTGTGTCTGAAGTTATGCATATTAATTATGTACCTGTATTCCAAATTTTTGCTCATGTGGCAACACCAACAAGGTGTTTAGGCAGCACATTGTGAAGGAACTATTTAAGAAAATGGTCCATCAAAGAACACTTAACTCACAATGGACCATGGAAGATGCCTATCTACACTTAATTGACTTTCCTGTGAATGTTCTAACTGGAGTACCGGTAATGGCTTCTGCTATGACGAAGCGAAATCATGCCTGAACATGTGACTTGGCCATGTGACTCCAAACACCATCTTGTTGCCTGTAATTTTCCACAGTGAGAACAATGGGATTCCCTTCACGTGTCAGAAACTATAAAAGGCCCTGGAAACATCTCCATTTTGCCTCTTTTCTGCTCAAACCTATGAACTATGAACTTTCACTGGGAGCATTCTAACCAAGGGACTGAGGACCTTGCAGTGATTTGGAAGCAACCAGAGACTTAACAAGCCAGCAGTTTATTCCATCATTGCTACAAGCCTGATCCAAGAATTTTGCAATTGTTGTACGTATTTGATTCCTTTAACCATTTTAACTTTCACCTTTCTTTCTTTTTTTTTATATAAATAAATCTTTAGATTTTAAGAACAAGGAGTACTTGTGGCACCTTAGAGACTAACAAATTGATTTGGGCATAAGCTTTCGTGGGCTAAAACCCACTTCATCAGATGCATGCAGTGGAAAATACAGTAGGAATATATATATACACAGAGAACATGAAAAAAGGGGTGTTGCCATACCAACTATAACGAGAGTGCTCAATTAAGGTGGGATATTATTAGCAAGAGAAAAAAAAACTTGTAGTGATAATCAGGATGGCCCATTTCCAACAGTTGACAAGAAGGTGTGAGTAACAGTAGGGGGAAAATTAGCATGGGGAAATAGTTTTACTTTGTGTAATGACCCATCCACTCCCTTGAGTGACCAGGGAGGTTGAAGTGTTCTCCAACTGGTTTTTGAACGTTATAATTCTTCACGTCTGATTTGTGTCCATTTATTCTTTTGCATAGAGACTATCCGGTTTGGCCAATGTACATGGCAGAGGGGCATTGCTGGCGCATGATGGCATATATCACATTGGTAGATGTACAGGTGAACGAGCCTCTGATGGTATGGCTGGTGTGATTAGGTCCAGTGGTGGTGTCCCTTGAATAGATATGTGGACAGAGTTGGCAACGGGCTTTGTTGCAAGGATAGGTTCCTGGGTTAGTGTTTTTGGTGTGTGGTGTGTGGTTACTGGTGAGTATTTGCTTCAGGCTTGGGGGCT